CTACAACGATAGGGCTCAGGGAATGTAAAATCTGGAATATCGTAGGACTTCCGGAACACCAGAATACCTGAGCTGTACAGCGCCGCAAATGATCCCCGACCGCAAATGATCCCCAGACCGGAAATAATCCTCAAATTGGACCACAAATGATCCCGAACCGCAAATGATCCCCGATGTAGACCGCAAATGATCCCGCCGGAAAACGAGGAATGGCATGGAGCCTCCTTCCATGTTTTTATTTATTGATTTTATTTTCATCATCCAAACGATAAATGTAAAGAAAAGATACTGACAACATAAACTACAATTTAAATATAATTCTCATGGTAATTCTCATTTTCTCTCGACAATTCTTCCAAGATATCACGGAGAAAAACGATCGTAAATAGCGATACCATTTCTCAATTGGCTCAATCTACAACAATAATAGCTTAGTACCACCAGTGAGAGCGATCGTGAGTATTCATGACAATTTGGTCCTACGAATGATATTCTGTGAGCTAGAAAATCCGCATCTCAACACTTCAAGCCGGTTTGGCTTTCGCATCTGCAATTTACAGCCTGAAATTCCATGCTGACGATCTAAACGTGTACTGACTCTGGACAGGAGAGCTGATTGGTCAAATTGCATGGTATGTTGAGCGATCTAACTGTTACTTTCATTACCCGTGGGAAACATAAGCGGAAAACCGAGAAACCGGACATTATTACGAACTAAAACCGTAAGCCGTTTTCGTGTAAGATTTTCAGACCAACGAAGTCTTACTTCACGAACAACGTTAACCTGATACATGGGTTACCACTGCAACCCGATATCCGCTAAAAATTTCTTGCTACTGATTTTTAAAATCTATAACAAGAGTACCCTGAGTATCAGAGTTTTCTTTAGTTCGCGTGATTAACCAAAACCGGAAACCGCACTTGAAAAGTCTCTAGTACTCACGGTATGACCAAACGTGCAGGGGAGAAAATTATACACGATTTATAAAATTGAGATGTAGAATATCGAGTGACTGATCTGACTTTTCCGTTCACAATTTTCGCTTCGGTTAAATTGTTATGAAATGTTATGGTTATAAATAGGCAAAGCCGATTACAAGGCATTCCGCGGAGCTTTTACGGTAATTAACCTACCCGAAGAACTATTTCTCCTGAGGGTGTCTGGAAGATCCGAATAGCAAATAGCGAATAGTCGCGAATAGCGAATAGTCGCGAATAGCGAATAGTCGCGAATAGCGAATAGCGAATAGTTCCGAATAGTGCGAATAGTCTCGAATAGTGCGAATAGTGGCGAACAGTCGCGAAAAGTGGCGAATAGTGACGAATAGTCGTCAATAGTCACCGCTTTAGATCTAATATACAGCGTGAATTAATTATTCAAATAAGCAACAAAATTTCAGGGAATTTATTACCCTTTCTTCTCCGGACTCAGGCTAGTAGGCCGTTTATCGCCGACATTAAGAAAACAGAAAACACAAGGATAACCTAATAAGCAGCGGTTAAAACAGAAGAAATTACGTTTAGAAACACCTTTCGTACTGATAAGCGTCTGTGCTTTTTAGCGGAAAAATCCCATCCTAAGTTGCTACGAGGCTGACTGCGAGATACTGGGTACCCTATTTGTTACTATTTGTCACTATTTGCCACTATTTGCCACAATTCGCTATTCGCTATTCGGGACTATTCGCTGTTCGCTATTCGCGACTATTCGCTATTCGCTATTCGGGTTTTCCAGACACCCTTATCCTGAGAATTATATCTTTATAGAATATGGTCACTTACGACTTTTTTCCGGCGGGATCATTTGCGGTCCACATCGGGGATCATTTCCGGTCCAATTTGGGGATCATTTGCGGTCGGGCATCATTTGCGGTGCTGTACATACCTAACCAGAATACCTTGTACTATAGAGGAGAGCTTTGGTATTTTCGGGTTTGGTGTTCATTGCGGTTTGCGGATTTTCTGTTTCTTCGCATTTGGTTTTCGATTTTTGTCAAAAATACTAGCGGGTTTTCGGATATGGTATCCGATGTGGCGTTTGCTTTTTCCTATTTGGGTTTCGGTTTCTCTTCGATCTCAGCGCCTGCACTGATCTCGAATAGCCGCGAAATGCAATTATTGTACCGGTTAGCTTCCCATGTGCAATCGCATGTTCGACCAAATAACAGGTCACACGTGACTGATTGATTCAACGCTCCGATCAAATCTCCAAACATTCAGTTCTTAGTTCTGAAATGGAAGTGGTAGATGAGGGATTTTCGATGGAAGTTTCCAGAGCTACAGCTTTTTGCGACTGCAAAATTGTAATCCTATAGAGGACTTTGTGCGAATTTTCCTCATTTAACCAGGCTCTATTACCAGCTGCTTTACGATAATGAGACTGCAAAGACTGGGCTCGCGAGAGCGGTGGAAATAAAGCCGATAATTTATGCAGATACCAGCTATGGCATTCACAAATACTGTGATGAAATTATTGTAGTTTACCCTTTATGCTCCATTGTATCAGATCGATTAGGGTTTTACTAATTGGAATGTGAAAAGTTATTCGTTTTGACGATTTTGAATGCGGTTTTTGTTTGTAATTGAATTTTTTTCGCGATTCTACGGCTTTGGATGATTTTTTCGTTATCTAATAGAACCCAACGTCCTCTCCATTTTCCGGCGTGGTCTCCTAAGGCTTTACTCCAAACGTTTTTATTTTAGCGCCTGGAAAACTGACACTCTTCGCCCCCTTCCACGTTTTTAAGTCAGCTACAGTTGTAGGACTTGTAGACATCAATCAACCTAGTCTGCCACGCGGGTTATCGGCAACCCAACCGCTTGACCAAGAGCCGGCCACAGAGATTTTGGGGTCCAGTCGACATTGGCTAGGTCAATTGGGCAATTCAACCAGAAGTCCTGGAAGTCTGACACAATTTTTGGACTCCCGACTCCTGATCCAGGCCAGGGAATGAAGATTCTGCCTGCGAGGTTCTTGCCAGAGGTGTTCTAGGCCTTTCCACAAATATCCAGATATTTGAGGGGATATTTAGAAGTTTCCAAGATATGGTAGTAGTTTTACCCATTGGAGTTTTCTTGTGCCAGGTCCAGCAGGTGAACGATTTTGGAAGTGTGAAACTGGCCGTTCACTTTGGTTTCTTTCGGTCGGTTTTCCACTTTTCCGCTTCTTCTAGTGTTTTGTTTTTTTTGTTCTTTTTTTAGTGTTTAGGTTTTCGCTCATTTCCCAAAGTTCGGCCATAAAGTCATCATCAATCTTCTCGAAAAGAGATGTCATTGCTGTAAAACAATAGCAAAGCAGTTTTTACCGTTGCCTAGCGACCTGAGAGAGCCAGTCACTTCAAAGTAATCCCTCCGAGCAGGGAAATTTAAGAAAAAATGACCTCTATTTTTTGCGCAGACGCCCTTTGAGATCGTCACGCAATCTTCTTCTTTCGTACATGGCGTGGAAGAGGAAGATTGGTTGACGAGCCAAATGAGCGTTTGCGTAGGAGGCTACTGTTTCGGCCAATGAGAATACAGTAATTTTACCCTCTATGTTATAAACGGGATTTTTGCCTTCAGAACCTTTATTTGTGGCAAGGCGTGCAAATACAATACAATACCATTTTCTCGAACCTCCGAGGGAAACGAAAATTGGGTGCCACATTCAAGACAAATGACGTTTTCGTACCCCTTGGGGGTAAAAATTGCGATTCCTCAGCCGACAGTGAACCTGTTACATATCAGTTGAAACTGAATAAAACGAGTAATGGTGGAATCTCCATTTCTTGAGCCCACCCTTCCTCAGACATCGAGAAAACACGAACTAAAAATGGTTTCTCTTGGATTTGCTGCACTGTAATTTTACCTCGAAGTCTTTTTACTCGAACGAATCCTCGTTTCCCTACGAGGATCGATAAATCGGGATTTCTAGTACTCTTCGATAGGCTCTGTACTTTCGAACAGCCAGGCTAGTGCTCTCAACTCTAAAAATAATGCTAGAAAATGAAATCATCTTCCAGGGGTTGCTGTTGATCATTGATAATTTATGCATCAAATAAATATAACTATTACTGAAAAGGGGAAAAAAATTGTTCATTTCGTTTTCCAGTCGCGAGAAGTCACGACAACGTTTCTCAATTTTTGGAATAAATCAAATGTAATTTGAATATAAACTGGAAGGAACTATTTTCGCCGGGCCCAAAGTTCCTTGGCGTGCTTCTAGGATCTTCTAGTTTCATAGATGGCACGATGTTCACAGATTTTTATGGCAGTCAGTCTGCTCTGGAGTTTGATGTTGTTAAGCAGGAAATCAGGTATATATGTTTCAAAAGAAACTTGTAGTTGTAAATTTACTCTGCTCAACATCTGTTTAAGGCGAATTTTGCGTCCCTTGGAGGATCAAGAAAGCAAATTACATTGTAAAATTTATCATTGTTCGAAAAATATGCTTGCAAGTTCGGTGTTCAGAGTCAAAGGGTTTGTTTTATCTACCTGTATAGTTGCACGTCTCCTTTTAGAAATCAAGATTTGATTTTGGAAGCTAGATGATTTCGTATTGTGTCAACAAGAGCGACCAATATATGTTGGATATTAAGACGCCCGAAACTGAAATCTTCCTTTTATTTCTTGTAAATATTTTCAAAACAAAATATTGATTACGTGTGGAGATATTTTTTCAATATATAAGTCAGTTAAAAAACCCTCTTTTATTATAAGTAACTGAATTAAAGACGGTTATTTCCAGGTGTTTTTGTGATGGAACTATCCCGGTTTGATTTTTCTTGCTGTAACCCATCCTCTACCTAGACCGTAATTATACTTAATTCGGAATTTTTGTTCATCATTTCTGCATCAAATTAAATTATATCAACCTTAAGACCACAATGAAGAGGATATTTTTTTCATCATGCATTGCAAAAAAAATTGCAAGGATAAAATAGATCTGAAATGTCTTGCAGACGGATTACCCAACAAATGTTTCCACCATTTGATGCAGACTGTGAAACCACTATAAATTTTACCCTAAAGCTATAGAGATGAAAAGAAATTTCTACAGGCCCCGACTGCTGCGAGTTAATCAGGCAAAACCATACTAGTCAGTATTGTCTATATTTTTTCTTAGCTGTACAGCATCATAGTCACACAGAAGTCTATGTTTCTCTGGAAGGAAATGATTGTGAAAGATGTGGTACAATCACTCACCCATGTCAGTCCATTGCGATGGGAATCCATCAAGTAGATTGGGGCGGACATATTTACCTGGATGGTACTGGAACCGAGCGAATGCCTTACCACTGCAACTCTTCAATGGCGCATGAGCAACATCTAAATATTAACATTCAGAAAAGTTTGAGTTTGATTGGTCTGAAATCCACACCATACATTTCTTGCCCTAGTGGCTTGTATTTTGACAAGTCAAGTACTCAGACAACAACTATTGTTTTATTTCGTGTTGTTTTTCGGCAAACGCCACTATTGTTTCAGGATTCTGATTTCAAAATTTCAACTGCTCTTTTCAAGATACCTCCAGTGCTCTGAGAATTCACATAACAGATAATGCAAGAAGGCATTTAAATATTCATGGCTCTTTTTTCTTTAACAACAACATTTCATGTGTGGAAATCATTTTGTACCACAAAGATTCAAACCAGGATCAACTTCTTGCTTTAAATATCAGCGAGACGACTTTTATGGCAAATGGATTTCACAAACAGCGGTTTCCAACAGGTGTAGTGACCATTCGCTCACAAACCACGCTGCCATCCAGCAGCATACATGTCCAAATATCTTGCTTAAACATCACATCTGTCAATAACGTTGGGTACTTTATGAACCTTGATCTCCCATCAGCTGTGACCAGCGAGGTTTATGATGATGTCAGATTGTTCAACAATACTCTTTCTGATTTGGTCAAGGCATCCACTGGTGGAAAAACACAAAACGTGGTGAATAGTTTGTACAATTCTAATACAAAGAAAACACGTGTTATGTTCAGCAACGTAAGATGTTCTCACAACCATTTATTGCGATGTATAAAGATTCATTCTGAGGAAGCCCAAGCGGAAATCCACAACTCGTCGTTTGTCGGACAGCGTCTTCGAAAGGAAAGAGGGGGAGCGATATTTTTTAACTCGACAGCACACGGGTCAGTGGTCATATTCAACAGCGAGTTTCGTAGGAACATAGCTAAAGGTGGTGGCGCATTGTTTACTCATAGTAAAAACGGAATTTTAACTCTTAACATGACAAGGATTAACTTCACCGAATGTGCAGCAGAAATGTACGGATGTGCAGTTTTGGTTGGCGACCTTGATTCTTCAAAGTTGGAAAACCGATCAACGCACAAGTTTTATGCCAGCATCAGAGAAATGTTAGTG